CTTCGGGGGGTTGGATGGCTGAATGGTTAGCGTGCGCGCGCTGTATCATAAAGTCTGTCATTGAGTCGACTGGCGTGGTTTCGAATCCCCGGTTGTACGTGGCAAGGAGTAGGGTCGCCTGTCCAACCTCGTGGGTTTTCTCCGGGTCCTCCGGTTTCCTCCCACTGCTAAAGACCCCTACGCGCAAGCGAATTATGTAAATAAAATTAAACCATATGTTAGTCCCGAAATGACCTAGTTTGTGTCGAGTGGACGTTAAACCCCATTTCTCTCTCTCTCTCTCTCTATTAACCGCTTCAAAATCAGAAAAAAAGTAAATTCAAAGCCGACAGATTTCGTCATGCAATAAGTGGGGGTGGAGGGGGGTGGAGGGGGGTGGGGATAGGGGAAGGTATGACAACGAAAAGGAGAAACGTGCTATAGATAGGAATGCATGAAATATGGATTAACGTCCTACTTTGCTGCACCGAATGGGACAATGAAGATGGGGTTATATATAAAAGGTACTATATTCATTCATGGCTAACCAAATGGTGGATTTTTGGGGTGTTATGGGTACTTAGCTCGCCAATCTTGCCTCGCTTCGCCCTCCCTTAAAAACAGAAATTAAAAATTAAATTGCCAGACTATAATCTGTAATAGTGTTTGATATCTTCACGTAACTTCTCGCCTAGTTCAATCTTTTATCAATATTTATTTTATTTATTTATACGCAAATCTCAGTAATTTAAAAATTGAAGAAAACCAGAAAGATCTGTTTTGTCATCCACAAACCTCGTTAATAACTTTGTCTTTTGTATTTTGCGTGTCTTTTGTCTGTCTTGCTATTCCTTTTATAAATCTTCTTATTCACGCCATAACAAAAGCTATCTGATTACAATACAGATCTATATTTCGTTCCGTTTTTTTTTTTATCTTTCGTTGGCCCTACATGAAGGGGGGTTGGATGGCTGAATGGTTAGCGTGAGTGCGCTGTATCATAAAGTCTGTCATTGAGTCGACTGGCGTGGTTTCGAATCCCCGGTTGTACGTGGTAAGGAGTAGGGTCGCCTGTCCAACCTCGTGGATTTTCTCCGGGTCCTCCGGTTTCCTCCCACTGCTAAAGACCCCTACGCGCAAGCGAATTATGTAAATAAAATTAAACCATATGTTAGTCCCAAAATGACCTAGTTTGTGTCGAGTGGACGTTAAACCCCATTTCTCTCTCTACTACTACATGAAGATTTGACCGGTCGCGTCAGCGGTCATGTGAGCAGATTTGGACCTATGACGTCAGACATTTGATTGGCCAATCAGCGTTGAGGTTTCTAGTGGCTTACCCACAGTTCGGTGCACCTCACGCCAAAAGCTCGCCGTAACAGACCGTTTCATTGCCTAATCCCTCACATCATCCAGCAAGCGGGTTATATAACAACTCTCCCAGATTCTAGTGTAGTAAAGACAAGTAAAACGAAATTTGGAACTATAAAAAACGAAACGAAATAGGATCTGTGTCTTAATCAGATTGTAGCAAAAATAATATACCCTTTTCGTTTGCTAGAAAAATAGGCACCATTGTGATACACGAAGACCTCCAGATTATCAGATTAGGTGAGCTTGAAACAGACAGAAGTTGGGATAAATAAGGCTTTGGCAATTGATATCCAAACATAGACTGCTATTAAATTAAAAGACAGTTGCATGGGAGCAAGTCAATCCTGACGTGTAACAACAACTGTTCTTATGTTCAATTTATTAAATTACCAAGACAGATGCCTAATCTGAAACTAACGCAAAATTAAATTCATCTATCACAGTGACCGTTTTTTTTACGTATCTAAATGCCATGATCTTCGATCTAAATGTTGCGACCATATAACGCGAAACAGCACATATACTTTTTATAACTTCACTTTTAACATCAACGACAATGTAAACTGTGACAATAAAAAACCTTAACCAAACCCTAACCCTAACCCTTTTAACATCAACGACAATGTAAAGTGCTCCAGCTGGGATAATGAAGATGGGCATACGTCATACAGTGTGCTATGAGGGAATTTTGCCCGGGCAGTGGCACTATGGCCTACTCTTATATCGAATTCCAACTGCCAAGGGATCTTTTACGTGCATGCCAATGTATACATGGGACCTTTCTCCGCTAATGCAGGGATCGAACACCCGACCTCCAGGCTAGCGAACAGCGCCTTACCCACTAAGCCACCACGGCTCCCCTAAGAGATAGAGTACACAACCATCGACGGGATTGTAACATTAAAAATGGGCCCTCATTTGTAAATAGACACATATCTAAACCTCCCTTTAAGCTGTAAATACTGCTTGTAGTCTGTCTTTCTCAAACCAACGACAATTATACGTTACTGACATCTCTCTCTCTCTCTCTCTCTCTCTCTCACCCACACACACAATACATTACTGACGACTCTCTCTCTCCCCCTCTATCTCTCTCTCCCCCCTCCCTCTCTCTACAATACATTACTGACTACTCTCTCGCTCCCCCCTCTCTCTCTCCCTCTCTCTCTCTCTCTCTCTAACGACAGTACTGATTGTACAATGTAAGTTAAGCTATAACAGACAGACTGTAACATCCCCGTCGAGACTTGTACAGGACATCTCGGCCAATAGTAACAGATGACTTTAATCACAGTTCCGGCCTCATATTTCAATTATAGATTTGGTTACACGACATTAACCCAATATTATAAATCATACAGCGTCGATACAGGAGACCAGAGACAGAGAGACTAGGTCATTTAGGGACTGTTTCAATTCTTGGACGTTCTGTCCATATTCGTCCTCCCTTCAGATTGCATTCAAGGTGAATTCGGTTGAACTGCACTGGTGCGGCATTTGAGGTGCATTCTAAACATAATGACTGCGTTCTAACAGCATTCTAATTATGTCCGGGGGGGGGGGGCGAATGGTTAGCGCGTGTGCGTTGTATCATACGGTATGTCATTGAGTCAACTGGTGGGGTTTCGATTCCCCGGTTGTACGTGAGTAGGGTCGCCTGTCCAACCGCTTGAGTTTTCTGCGGGGTGGGGGGGCAAAGACCCCCTGCAAAAAAGTTTCGCCCTACCCCCGTGAAAAAATTGTCGACCATAAGAAAAGATATACATTGTCCGTCAATTTTACAGCACCCATGAGAACACTTCCCGCCCCCCCCCCCCCTCGTTGCTCTGAGCTAGTTACGGCCCTGCTCAGAGTCCTCCGGTTTCCTCTCACTGCTAAAGACCCCTACGCACAAGCGAGTTATTGAAATAAAAGTGAACCATATGTTAATCCCGAAATGACCTAGTTTGTGTCGAGTGGACGATAAATCCCATTTCTTTCTCACGTTCTTGCTGCAATATTTCAAACATAGATAATGAATATATTGAACCGTCTCGGTTTTCCATTTCAACATTAACCGATTAAATGGTGCGGATGGTCTAATCCCTTTTATATCTCTGAATATTCATGATGTGTTCCAACTTAAATCGAGGGATCACGTGGCTAAGCGGGTAAGACGCTGGCTCGCTAGCCTGGAAGTCGGGTGTTCGATCCCTGCATTGGCCGGGAAAGTTCATCCAGATTTTCCGACGTTGGCCGGGAAAGTTCATCCAGATTTTCCGACGTGGTTTCCCCTTGTCAGTGATGCAGGACAGAGGGCCTGACAAGGACAGCTGTCTAGTCGTTCGGATGGGAAGAAAAACCGAGGTCCGGTGTACACATTGGCGTGCACGTAAAAGATCCCTTGACAGTTGGAATTCGATATAAGAGCAGGCTGAAGTACCGCTGCCCTGGCAAAATTTCCCTAATAGCACACTGTATGGCGTATGCCCGTCTTCATTAGCCCAGGTTAGGAGCAGAACAGTAGGACGTTAAACCCCATTTCATTTCATGTTCCAACTTAAATCGAGCTGTTTTCGAGAGCTAATATACCTGGAATGGACTAGAATTATTCGCGGCGGGTTCGATGCGCATTCTAAGTATTTGAAAGACATTCTTACAAAGCTGTAAGATTTTTAGTCAATTTGAAATTCCCTCCCGAGAATTCTTCATTCCGACTGGTTCTGCTGATTTCGACTAAGTATGACGGTGTCTTTATATACAGTCCAGGTCACGCATGCACGACACATACACAGGCAGAGAGATAGGAAATTAATATAGTTTTACATTTCGTCAACCGTGTGTACAAGGCGTAAGGTCGTCTGCCTTATCTCGCCACGTGCCTCTGTGTTCCCCGGTTCCCCTGACCAGCCGACCAGCTAATACACGTTTGTCTCCAAACAATCCAGTTAGTGTTGCGTAAACGCTCGTCCGAAAAATGACACGGTTTGTGTCCAACCAGTGGACATTAAACCCGGAGAATCCGGAGAAAACCCACGAGGTTCGACAGGCTACCATAATCCATACCCGGTTTCCTCCCACACCTAAAGAAATAAAATGAAATGGGGTTTAACGTCCTACTGTTCTGCTCCGAACTTCACAGCTAAAGACCCCGTACGAGCTAGCGAATTATTGAAATAATATTGAACCATATGTTAGTCACGAAATGACCTAGACTGTGTCGAGTGGACGTTACCCCCGCCCCCCCTCTCTCTCTCTCCCTCCCTCTCTCTCTCTCCAAACGTAATCATAGACATAAAAAGTACCGCATGTTAGTCTGAAAATAACGATATTTCATTTCACATAGATTTTTTTATAACTTACAAGTGTCCGTGATATCTCGGGGTCCGTATGTTTGTTTTTAGTCTTTTAGATTAGTTAATTATACGTGATGTCTTGCATTTAGCATTAATCTATGAGTGACGGGATGAATGAATGCATGAATGAACGAATGACGTAATATAATGAGATGAATTAATGGAGAAGAAGAATGAAAGATTAGTGAGTGAAGATTGTTATGGAGTCAATCGATGAACGAGTTGTGAATCTGTCGAGTGACAGTGGACGACGAGTCAGTCGAGTTTCTAATCATCCTGTTATACCACCGTGTCACATGACAGAGACTCACCGTTTGTTCTGACAACTTTCTCGCACCCTTACGGCTCGCCATTGCTATACATTAAGGTTCCAGAACGACTTATACCTACTCTTGGGTTTATATTTCGCTTAAGAGCAAAACGTGTTATCGTCGCAGATTAGTGAAAAGGTAAGTGCGATGTTTATATATCATATTAATATCTTCGTGTCCATAAACAAATTGAGTTTTAGAATAGTTTGTTTTATATTTTTTTTAACACCTGAGAATTTCCTTTTTTGTTATAATATTTTTAACAAAAGGGGATGATTTTGTTATTATTTTTTTAACACTTGAGAATTTCTTTTTTTGTTATAATATTTTTAACAAAAGGGCATGTTTTTTGTTATTATTTTTTTAACAACTGAGAATTTTTGTTATTATATTTTTAACAGAATGATAATTTACATGTGTTCGTGTTTGTAATAATATTAGTTTATATTAACTGTGAGTTTAAATAATATGAGTTTATATAAACTGATTTTGAATAACATTAGTTTATATTAACTGATTTTGAATAATTAACACGAATAAACTCCTATGTGAAAAAAGGTAAAACGTTCCTATTTGTTGTATACCATTTAAAACCTCTATAAACTTATAATAATTTATCTTCGCCATTATGCATACGGGGAGTGCGCGGGAGAGTGTGTTTTTCTTATCTGTCCAACCGCCATCTTTATATGTCTTGGAAACATAAATAATAATAAATCTGCGGTTTTTAAAACTCGATTGTGCTTTTAAAGATGCCTGTCCACCTACAAACTGTGTGATTTTATGATATCTTTAGACTAAAATTATACATATTGTTCGAAGAAAACTACCCCAAGCAGTACGGTATATTTTAAGCAACCTTGTTTGTCAGGTGACGTGATTTCCAGCTTGTACAATTTGTCGTTACTTTCTGTCCATATCCCATAATTATCAAAGCATAAGCAAATTCGTGGATTATCCTCGTCTTCATTAGCCCAGCTCGGAGCAGAACAGTAGGTCGTTAAACCCCATTTCATTTCATTTCATTTCATTTTATTTCTTGGATTATGTTCTGGCAACTTCTTTTTCCGCTGTTTAAACGCAAAGTTTGGGTACGTTTGAGTCTATTAATGTTTTCACAAGCGCTACCCATTCGATCAACAAAACTAAGCGCTACCAGTAAACAGTAAGATGCGGGCTACGATTTAACGATCAACTTCAATTTTTGTGCTGTGCGCGCCTCATTTTTCAGGGAATTAAGTACACAGTTGGTTGTCTCTGATTTCCATATTAACCAATTTCTCCTACTTTTATTGGAAATAATAATTATTATTATAAAATCATTTATATAGAGCATGCTTTCATAAAATGTGTTCAATAGACATTACAAATATTAAAAAAATACAGGTGTAATAATCTTCTTCCACTGCTGCCCGGGAAAAATTTCCCTCATAGCACACTGTATGGCGTATGCCCGTCTTCATCAGCCCAGGTTAGGAGCAGAACAGTAGGACGTTAAACCCCATTTCATTTCATTTCCTTCCACTGCTAAAGACCCCGACGCGCAAGCGAATTATTGAAATAAAATTGAACCATATGTTAGTCCCAAATTTCCTAGTTTGTGTCCAGTGGACGTTAAACCTCATCTCTATCTCTCTCTCTCTCTCTCTCTCTCTCACACACACACACAAGTGTAAAAATTTTAAAGGTATAGTTAAACATACAATATGCAAGAGTTAAATCTACCTATTGCCTTAAACGTCATGTTCACATGTCAAGACTATAATCAAATCTCAATGCCACCGGATGGCTCCGATTTGAAGTAGATTAGAACATTCGGCCATTTAATAATTTAGGATTCGAATGACCAGTGCGGTGGTTCGACCAATGCACACATCTTGTCAAAACTACAGCCATTGATAACTTCGCTGAAAATAAAGTAATTTGAATGAGATTTTCAATGTATTCATTTTGCATTATCTATTTTTGAATTATCATAGCAAAAACGAGGAGCTCTTGATCTAAATCCTAAATGCTTGTTTAAATATATACAAACTCCATAAAACTTCATTAATAAGAACATACATGTGTGGATTAAATATCCCCCCCCCCCTCCAAAAAAAGCTGTATAAATCCAAAGTAGTAGAAACATACAGATTCATGAAAAGCTTGCCTAAACATTGATAACTTCGTTCAGAACAATATAATGTAAATGGCATTTTAAATATATTCATTTGGGGTTATCTATTTGAACTATTGTAGCAAAGATGGGTAGCTCTTTATCTAAATCTTACATAATGCATCATAAACCAATGACCTTATATTGAATTCCAAAAACAATGGGTAACCGATAAAGTTGAATGACCATGATATATATTTCCGGTAATGAGTCTGGCTGCCATCTTCAGAACCATTTGTAATTTATCAGTTAAACCACCTGGCTTTCTCTGTGTCTTAACGCCTCGTGAACACACAGTGATTGGGACTGAAACAAGAAGCTCTGTGATTGGTGCAGAGACTGGGGCAAGGAGCACTGTGATTGATGCGATGATAGGAGCACTTTGATTGGTGCGATGATAGGACCAAGGAGCAATATGATTGGTGCAGGTTGTTGTTCTTGGTGCAGGTTGTCTGCGATATCACCTCGGTGGAAGCGGACGTAAAATACCACTAACTAACAACATTGTTCTTAGTGTTTAACGTCCACTTTCACCGAAGGTGATATCGCAGACAAGTCTTACTTTTTTTAAAATTTTTATTATCTTAGCGCACGCGCAGGCAGAGTTCTTTCATGTGGGGGGAAACCGGAGTACCCAGCATAAACCCACAAGGTTGAGAAGGCACCCCTATCTCCAAGCCACATACGCTCACACCAGGGATCGAAACCACAGCCGCAAGCCAGTGGTGACCGGCCAGCTAGAGGTCGAAGTGCGACACTCTAGAAAACTAGGCCATCCCCCCATTGCAGGTTGTGAAGCAAGGCGCACTATGATTGGTGCAGGGAGTTTAGCAAATTGCAAAATGATTAGTGTCGGAAATGAAGCAAGGGACACGATCAGTGAATGCGCAAGCATCATTCAAATAAATCCAGTGAAAGTAGGAAGTCGGTTAATGACGTCATAATACCTGACTTGATATAAACTTAATGCTTTCTGTACATGGGAGCCGTGGTGGATCCGTAAGTAAGTAACTAATTCAAAACTCCCCGGGTTCGATTTTCAGCTTGGAAGGGCCATCGTCTAGTCGTTTTGATAGAATGAAATGGAAACCGGAAGTCCATCCATATACTCGATGGTGTGCACGTACCAGAAACATTGATAGGTAGAATTCGATAAAGACTATTTGGAAAAGCCACAGCATATCGGATGTCCGTCTTCATTAGCTCGGTTGGTGCAGAAATGTAGGTTTATTCCACCGTTCGTATATACAGCTACACTGACAGATGGACAGATTCTAAAATCTTGCTAATAAAGGTGTCCATTTGATTGGATTATAGGTCATTTTAGGACTAACATCTGGTTCAATTTGTTTTCAATAATTTGCTTACGCGTAGGGGTCTTTAGACGTGGGAGGAAACCGGAGGACCCGGAGAAAGTCCATGAGATTGGATAGGCGACCCTACTCCTTGTCACGTACAATCGGGAAATCAAAAACACGTCAGTTGACTCAATGACATACCTTATGACACAAAGCGCACGCGCTGACCATTCGGCCATCCAACCCCCCTTCTCCTTTGTTGGTGGTCAATACCATTAGATCATATGCTACCAGTAGCTGCTGCTTCTGAATTCCAAGTATAAACCATCGCCCTGGAAGGCTGTTTACCTTTTATTTATTGGGATATTAAATCGCATCTGTAGTTATGTTTCAGGAGCCGAGTTGGCTCAGTGAGTTGGACGCTGGTCCGCTATCCCGCTAACCAGGAGGTTTCGGGTTCGCTCCAAATGTTGCCCGAGAATGTTTCTCGGGATGTATTAACCCGGTTTCCCCTTTTCAGTGATGCAGGACGAAGGGCCTGACAAGAACAGTGTCTAGTCGTTCAGACGGGACAAAAAACCGAGGTCCTGCATACACATTGGCGTGCACGTAAACGATCCCTTGACAGTAGGAATTCGAAATAAAGAGTAGGTCATAGTGCCGCTGTCCGGTCCAAATTTCCCCTATAGCACACTGTATGGCATAATATGCCCGTCTTTATTAGCCCAGTTTAGGAGCAGAACAGTAGGACGTTAAACCCCATTTCATTTCATTTCATTTCATTTGTCTTCATTAGCCCAGTTGGAACAGAACAGTAGGACGCTAAACCCCATTCATTTCATTTCATTTCATTTCTGTGTACAGGCTTGGTGTGGCATTGATGAGAATAAATAGATTGAAGGAAATAAAATGGGTGTTTTCGTCCCATCCGCACGACTATACGCTGTTCCTTGCCAGCCCCTCCACCCTTCACCACTGACAAGGGGAAACTCCGCCGGAACACAGATTTGTAATTCACGATACGCGCTCTTGTAGGTACAACGATATTATTAAACGATGCAAGCAGCCATAACATTTTGTTGCGTAGTTTTTGCGCTCTCTGTAACCTTTCTATGAACTTCCTGTGTCTGAGTAGATAGAATCCTGGCTAACGACTTTAACGATACGACCAACAACCGAACACAAATAAATAATGACTACATAAATGAGGGCTGAAGTATAGATAGACTATGTCTTATCAGCCCCGGCTGACGCAATCTTGAACTTACACGTCGTGAGATAATACAAGCAAAATATTATTAAAGTGATGTCTTGCAGACAAAATCCGGTTTCTGATAATCTCCCGATTAACGATCCATTAGTCTTCTAGGTGTCGTCGGTGATGTTTCTCTAAATTAAGTTTACATAAAATAATATTTGAAATTTCTAACAACTTGCACCGCGTGGGTCATATTGTTTGGTAACCGTGGTTTGTCAGAGAGTAACGACGCTGGATCGCTACCAGGTCACGGATTACCCGTGTCAGTGGTGCAGGACCGAGGACCTGACAAGGAGGGCAGCTCTCTAGTCGTTCGTATGGGACGAAAAACCAAGGTCCCGTGTACACATTTGCGTGCACGTAAAATATCCCTTGGCAGTTGGAATTCGATATATGAGTAGGCCGTAGTGCCACTGAACGGGCA